ATCTATTTTAGTTATATTTTATTCTTTCTATATTTATTTTGGATTTAATTTGTTATTCTTGTAGTAGCTTCATGAGATGAATATTTAGATTATAGATTTTTAGCTCTTTTTCTTTTTTATTAAATACATTGAAAGGTATGAATCCTCCTTAAATACAAGTTAAACTTCATGTCAATAGTTTGCCATGTCATGTCTTCATTATGATTCATTTCAAAATATTTTAAAATTCTTACTGTGATTTCTCTTGCCTTCTTTTTCCCCAGCTTTACTAAGGTTTAATTGCTAAATAAGTGTAATATATTTAAAGCATACACATAATGATTTGTATACATATACATTGTGACAGCATTCCCACAATCAAGTAATTTAACACATCCATCATTTCATATAATTACTTTTTTGTTGTTGAAAATGCTTAAGTTCTGCTCTCTTAGCAAAATTTAATTATGCAATACAGTATTAGTTTACAATGCTTCTTGCTCTAAAATTTACTTCATATATGTATGTATATGTATATACACATATATATATGTATATATGTATATGTGTATGTATCAAGTACATACATACATGTAAGTACTTCGTATATGTGTGTGTGGCTAGGAACTAGGAACTAGGCCAGGTTTTTTAAACTAGGAACTAGGCCAGGTTTTAATCTGTTTTTATGGCATATCTTTTTCCATCCCTTTGTTTTCACTGTTGTCATAGCCTTGTATTTATGTGTGCACTTTGCCTTAACCTCTTCGATGCCCTCAAAGAGAAGAGTTTATTTTGTCCATATTTTCTAATTTTTCTCAGTGGGATGGTTAGCCTGAAAAAAAGAAATCTGGAGTGACTGCTGAAAGCAGCAGTCTAATTTTGTGGCTTCTCGTAAGATATAAAAGTCCCCATGATTCTTTCTGCCTTAGTAAAACAAAAAATGGTAGAGACTGATCTGAGAAAAGGCTCCTTGAACCAAAAAACCCATCTGCAGATTAGTGCAGAAAATAGTTGGACCTCTGTGACCTGCATTCTTCTTGGTCTTCTCATTATATTCAACGTGACCTGAAGAAATTTCAGCCAGTCAACAGGCTTGAAATGATTTGAAGATTAAAAAAAGTCACTATATCTAATGCTTAGAAAAGTGTCTGACAAATAATAATTGCTATATAAGTATTAGTTATTATTATTAAAAATTCCCACACACAACCACTCTTTGAAGTCATTTCTGATAAAGGAAATTCTATTTACGTGGACACAATACCTGTGTTAATGAATACTGTTTCAGGATTCCTTGGTATGTTTAATCATCATGAAATATTTATTAGACACTATGTACAAAAGGTTGTGTTGAACAATCAATGTAAAATAATGTAGGATAATCCCTGATCTCAAAAGAATTAAAATCTAATTGTTAAGACAATATATTTGTTAAGAAATAAACATTACTTGTTTAAATATCTCATTGTTCTACTAAATTTTGAGGGAAAGAATTCTATTTTATTCATTCATGAGTCCTCAATGAAGCCCAGAACATGTATCTGCATATAGACAACCCACAAATGATTATGGAATTAAATCAAGCTTACAATGTTAAATTCTAGAAAATAGTAACTACAAAAGAATGGAGTCATCTTGTTTGATTGATGAATGGATAAATGGAAGTATGAACAAATAAATGAATGAACTAACCACCCTTTAAAAGAAGTGTGTTGGGGCTTCCCTGGTGGCGCAGTGGGTGAGAGTCTGCCTACCGATGCAGGGGACACGGGTTCTTGCCCTGGTCCGGGAAGATCCCGCATTCCGCGGAGCGGCTAGGCCCGTGAGCCATGGCCTCTGAGTCTGCACGTCCGGAGCCTGTGCTCCGTAATGGGAGAGGCCACAACAGTGAGAGGCCCACGTACCGCTAAAAAAATAAATAAATAAATAAATAAAATAAAAGAAGTGTGTTACTTTGATAAGAAGTCATGGTAGTAAATTTGAGGTAGAGAAAATATTATGATAAAAAGAATAAAGATGAAATCATACATGAAACATTTAAGGATGAATGAGTAAAAGATCCTACGGGTAGTTCAGGGATCACATAAAAGAGGAGGATAAGACAATAGATGAGTATGGACTAAGGAGTGTTGTGAATGGTAGTTTAACAAGTTTAGCCTACATTCCCTGGACAATGGTGAAAGTTTGAAGGTTTCTGATCAGTTTAATAGTTATTTTAGAATAATGAAACAATAGTGGTAAATTTAAATTGAATAGAAAAGAGATTTGAGTTGACAAATCCATTAGTAGCTATACTAATATTCTACCTCTATATAAAAAATATGGATCTGAATTTCAGTGTTGGCACTGGAAATGTTAAAGAAAAGAAAATTTATATAGGTACTATTGGAGATAGTATATCTATAATTTTATATAACTGTATATCTGTAATTTTATATAACTATAAAATTACAAGATTTGATGAATAAACGCATATGGAGGTATATGGAGAACAGTACAACAAAACTATGTCTTACCTGTTCAGAGAAATGTTTCAGTAATGTAATACGTTTAATGAGGTGTTTTTCCAGACTGGAAAATTCTGACATGCAATCAAATGGAGGGCTGCCAGGGAAAGATGACAAGAGATTCCATCAATCTCAATTTCACTGAGTACCACAGCTTTATACCTTAGGAAAGTGAAAATTATAATCCATAGTATGTAGAGCTTTAGATCACTTTGTGAAAGTGCCAAGGGTCAGCTAAATTCTAAACATCACAAAGTTACGTCAAAAAATAACAGAAAGCTTACATGGAAGATGATCAATGTAATATATCTATGGCCTCAATAAAGTGGTAGGATGATAGGTGCACAATTTACAGCATTTATTCCCATTTTCAAGTTGCTATCAATAAGTGGAAGGCAGAGTAGGTAACTTTTGAATTTTCCTTGGCTAGTTTACTATACAAAGGATTACATGAAAAGAACAAAAGGAAGAAGGAAAAGTATCAAATATTAATTAAGTATGTAATCCACAAGTAGATTATCTACCCCTTGAAAAATAGATTGGCTGTATCTGGCAATTCATTTTATTTGCCACAAATTAAAATAAAAGATATATTTTACTTAGGACACTATAACCAATGGAAAACTTTTGGGTTTATTAATTTTGTCTAGCATAACTCTTAGACTTCTGTGATTTGCTGGACATGTAATCACAAGGAGTAATTTGAATTAGGTGATAAAACATACATAACTTTGTTGGAAAATAATCACCATTATAATAAAAAATGGAGAACAATTTTCAGAATGTCATTTGTAAAATAAATTAACAAGCATTAAAATGCTGAAATCATATTTACTCTCCCATGGGAAGTGAAATTTTAGTTTTAAGAATTAGCAAGAAAATGTAATTTATAACTCCTTCCCCAAATTCCTAGGAGATTACAATCCCTGGTTTTTACATGAAAGTGCCATTTTCTGGAAGTCTATTTATAAAACACATAAGAGCATTGGCAATGATTCAAATATCTTCTTATAATAAGTTTATAAATTTATGTGGCAAAAGTAGCTGCCAGATCCATAGGATAATCTCTTATAACTATGTCCAGGGTATGAAACATGTGAGCAAAATTCCCTAGGCAGTTTTTTCCTTCTTATTTATTTCTGGACCAAAAAAATGAGCAAATAGCCAAGAAAATATTGGGTCACCCACCTACCACCTCACCCCGCACTATCCCTTAATTCTTAACGTGAAAAATGCTCAATTTATATTTCCTTACAAGTAGAATCTTGGGTAGTTATGCTTTGATAAGTGGTCTTGAGTTACTACATTACCCTCCTTAATAAATTTTGTCACAAATTCTGTTTACCTCAAATAAGTAAGTCGCTTAAAATTTTAATGACTAATGCAAATATAACATACTGAGAGAAATCCTTGTGAACAGATTAAGATTTCCATTTAGTACCATAATTAAGAATGTTTTAGTACCCATAACTTTTATAATAAATCTTAAAATGTTTATTCTATTACTAATAAAGCAGAATTTAAATGTAGATGTCTCATCTGTATCGAAGCTTATAATGCTGGCAAAGTCAATTTTTTTGTACACTGTAGTTCAGTTGAAAAGTTCTAGTAACTCACAAAAAAGTTTAATATCTTTTAGGAAAATTTAATGAAGAGGAAACTGTTCCTGGGAAGAGGTCATATAAGTACGTTTCCCTCTTTTATCATGATGACATCTTGATTAAACTCCTGAATTCATTTCAATTCTCAAAAATATTTATTATCTCTATCACCAAGGTGACTCACCAGATTTCTATCCTTCTTTCTAATAAATTTGAAATAAATTTTAGGCCTGAAATCATATATTTGATTAAATCAAATAAATTACTATTTTGGATTACAATTTGAAAAAAATAAAATATTAATGCTAATAATGGAAAATTTACATTTTAACAGAATCTTTCCCATGTTTTCTTTTAGAAACACAGAGGTTAGGCCAATTTTAGGGTAAACCATAGAGATTATTTTTCCCACTGACACAATTACTTGAGAGAAAAGAGGGAAAAATTTCTCCAACTGATACTCCAATTCCTCCACTTGACCCACAGATAAGGGAAATTTAATTAATCTATAGGAAATGCAATTAGGCTGAACACCAATAATTCTTAAAATCTATGTGACTCTCTGATCAGAAATGAGCCAGATGAGTCCCTGACACAATTTTCAAGGTATTTGGACTTTCCTAGGAGGTCTTTGGAAAATCAAAAGCAATTAAAGCTAAGAAATTTAAAAGTACTAAGGTGTTTTATAGCAACCACGATCAGTGCAAAACACAGCATTAGTTTTTCTTAATGTATTTCATTCATAATATTTTATGTGTTCAAAGACAATATATAGAATGTTCAATAAGTGCTCAGCTTAGTAAAATGGTTATTCAGTTTGAGTAACTCTTATTAATAGTCTCTAATTCTTAAACAAGAACTATGGAAATCTGTTATGTTGTAAACTGAAGTTTAAAATCTTCAAGCAGTTGGAAAAAGAAGATGCTAAGGTGATTCATAAATCTGCCATATTCAAAAGCTGTTATATGAGGTCACTTTGTATAGATTATATAATTTATGAAAGAGGAATCTGACTAATTGTCTTAAGGACTACTCAATACAAAATATTGCAGGAGCAATATAAACCCCATTTAGTCTTCCCTGGTTCCAGTGATGAAAGTAAAAAAGCTCTCAAATTGGTGATGTAGTGAAATTGTACCAAAGAGTGCTTCTTAATACTGAGACCATGATATGAATTTTGAAATGAGACTACTTTAATTAAATGAGAAAATTTAATACTGTGAATTATCAAACATCAGTGAAACAGATTATATTCATTTTGGGGGTCTTTTTGTTGCCACTACCCAGTCCTGCAGCTATCTTTGCTGTCTGCCCATTATCCTTTTCCTTATTCTCTTTATGTTGAATTTATTCCAAGGATTCCATTATTTCCTTTGTCTAAGTTTGTTACCAGATAGATGTTTGTAAGGAACTCAGAAGAGAGGAAGTAGAGGAACTGATGAATGTCCTAAATTTCTTCTACCATTCAATTTGAAATTTTTTGAACAAGTGGGTCAGTCACTTCATCCCTTCTTTATGTGAACAAAATGGGTTTGTCAATCAAGTATGAATTACAATGAAAAGAAATGATAATCAGTAAGAGAGCAAGTAACAAAGAGGGAGGAGAAAAGTGTCATGACTTCTCCCTCTTATACCTCTCTGATTGATCATAAAAGCATGCTTCCCTCTTTTACTATCTAATTTCTCTATCTTTGGGATGTAATACTTTCTAATAGGGGAAGAAAACAGCCTAGAAATAAATATACATATAATGCTTCATTTGTGTGTAGGATATAGAGTTGACTATAGTCTTTGAGAAAAATGACAATTTCAAAATTGAAATATTAATATACTACCTGCAGATTATTATCAAAACAAGATTAGAAATCATTAGCCTTTGATTTCTGTAGCCCTCTCTTAGTAATACAGAGTTTTAAAAATAGGATTGACTTGTTTATAAAATATCCCTAATGTAATTTATATATATATATGAAAAAAAACTATTTTGCCCAGATGTGGTAAATTAAAACTCTATTGTAACTTTCATGCATCCCTGAAAGACTGTAGAGAAACAAGTGCTCTTTCTAATGAAGCAGTAGAAAAGTGAATCCTTTGTAAAAATAAATAATTTTTCTGTAAAATGATATTTTTCTATAAAATGTCAGATGATCAAATATCAGATTATTTAAAGTGAATTATATAACAGTGTTCTTCATTCTAGGGAAATATTCAGAGCATCAATAAAAATCTATAACTGTTTTTGAAAGATACTGTGGAAATAAAATCCAATTCATTCAGAAGTTTTCTGAAGAGGGAAAAAGAGGGGAAAATGCAACTATCTTAAAGCTTTACAGATCACATATTAGGAATTACCTTTCCAGAATGTTTAGTATCATCTTGACCATATTAATCAGTTCAAGAGCAGCAGTAAGAATGTTATAAGGCGGTTGTTCATAAGTGCCATGTAGAGTACGTGCCCTTCTTCTTTCCGATATCATGACAAGAACACGGTCAATAGCATGCTCAAGATGTTCACTTTGTTTTCTGAATCTGGTAAGCATCTTTTTGTCATTCTGAAATTAAAGTGGGAGTTTGGGGGGAAGAAATAAGGCAGCACTTATCTAACACACTATAAATATGGAATAGGTTCAACAGCAACACCATTTAGCCAAAATCATGTAAGAGGGATGCAAAATTACCATCAGACACTTTTCATTATTTACATATTGTTTCTGGTAATACTTATATCACTCATGGTAGTGATTATCTAAAGTATATGAAGAGTAAGATTCATCCATGGAAATACTGAGGTATGTAATTTTAGAATGTGGCAAAAATTACTTGCCCATAATTAGGACATGTTAATTCTGGTACTGCCTTATTAGTACACCTACCTCATTTTCTTTTAGAGTATAATCTTGTAAGGGGAAAACCCACACTACTTTGCATTTTGGACAGGATTAGGTATAGATCTCACAGATAGAAAAGGGAATCCTTACTTTTCATTTATCTCAGAGACCTACAAAATGTGTGTAGTCCTATCTAAGAGCTCATAATTTAAACATACAGGATCTGTAAGATTATTAATTGGGTATTAAATGTACCACTTCAAGTGATTAGACACTTGTCTCATTTACCTATTTCATCTTTGCACAAACGTGTGTACATACACTCCCCTTCATCACACTTTGTCCAGAGTCTCATCAAATGACTACCAGAAATAACCAGAGAATTGCAATAATAGCCCCATGTAGCCTCTTCTTTGTAAGAAGTTACTCTAGCTTCCACATTTAATGGTCAGGAAATAATTTGAGATTTACTAAGTAGTGAGGACACCTAGCAAAAAGGTTTTGCCCTTTTAGTATTTGAAATTCTGAGGTTCAGGGAAATTTTATTCAATTATGGAAGAAATAAGTTTATAAGTATTTCTGGCCTGGGTCCAATAAGATATTATTGAAAATATCATATTAATATGACTTCTCATCCTAATGTAAAGTCTGTCATGTAATATGTTCAGATGTTCAACCTTAGTGTTTCATTCTAAATATTGTGAACCAACCTAATCATAGGTCATCTTCCAGATTTCTATTTTTTTTTTTTTTTGCGGTACGTGGGCCTCACTGCTGTGGCCTCCCCCGTTGCAGAGCACAGGCTCCGGACGCGCAGGCTCAGCGGCCATGGCTCACGGGCCCAGCCGCTCCACGGCATGTCGGATCTTCCCAGACCGGGGCACGAACCCGCGTCCCCTGCATCGGCAGGCAGACTCTCAACCACTGCGCCACCAGGGAAGCCCCATCTTCCAGATTTCTGACGAATAGCTTTGCTTTGGTAGTATCCACTGCCTGCACATAAGCTTGCTTTACTTTTGTTGATTGGCAAAGTAATATGTGTATTTGGGCATTTTTCCTTTTCTCAAATAGTTTTAACATATGAAGAAGAAAGTAACAGAAAATTATGGCTGCTGGTTTTCCTATTTATGGATGTCAGAATGAAAGTATCAATGCCAACATTTAACATATAAACTTAAATATGCTTTTACATTCATCTTCTGCTTCCCAACATTCTTCAGCTTCGCTTGCTACAATCTTGAATTTTAAATACAAACTATTATCATTAATGTAAAATAAATTATTGTTATTTGAGGTGTCTACTTTATCTTTCGAGATTTTTTCAAAATTTTCTGTTAAGTTTATAACCATATTAATGAAGATTATTTTGACAAACTACACTTTACTAGTTTCATTCCTCATTGTTAGTTCTTTTATACCACAGCTTCTCTGTTCTTGAATTATTTATTTTTATTCATCTTTGGTCAGCTGAAATACATCTTCCAGTAATTTTAAAGAATTAATGGGATATATTTCCTGACTTTGTAGTCGTAACACATTATTGACTGGGGTATTTCTGCAGAAACTAACGCCTGTGGCCGTAATACATCTCCAGTAAAAAATGTGTTAAGAATATTTTAATTTTCCAACTTACATATATGGTTTCCCAAAATTGCATGGCTAATTATTAGAAGAACTTATCCTGGAAACAGAGGCCTTCTGATACTCAGTGCTCCCTTTCTATTACATTATTAAATGTATTTGGTCCTAGAGGGAGAGGGAAAGATGGGAATTTTTTGCTGCATGCCATTTGTCAGTGTGGTGAAATGGAAAGACATCTAGGTCTGGTGTGAGATCTGGGTTTGTACAAATCACTTAAATGTCTCAGAGCCTTGGTTTCTTTTTTGTTTCCCTCTAAAATGTGGATAATAATAACACCTGTTTTATCCATGCATAGGATTGTTAAAGATATCAAATATTATGCATAAAAGAACTATTGTTTATATACAATTAGTATATGCCAAAAAGAATCACAATATTTTAGGAATTAACCACCAAATTCTAAATGGTGCCCTATCTAATTGCAGTCCTAAGGAAACTTCAAAGAAATCAAACAGCTAGCCCCTCTGATATTCTAAGTAAATTTGAATTGACTTTTCAAACCTAGTTTTTGAAAATTCTGTTAAGATTAAACAATTGATAAATAGTATTCTTTTTTGTATGATCCTACACTAGACCGCCTTTAAAAAGTGAAAATCATATCAGATATATGTTTTCTCTTTTTTTTTTGGTTTTAAAAGCATTTTACAGAGAGCAAACCTTTTTTTCAGTAAGTCCAATACAACTAAGTCAAGTAACTTATACTTTGGGAAGGTCTACAATTGAGAAATGAAACACCAGTATTGCCAAACTGGTGATTATTTTAGCATGCAGAGTAATAGCAAATAATGCCATTTAAGTTGTAAAAGAGAGGGTCTTGTTACAAAATTTTAAAGGCATATATAATACATACTATTGGGAAATTTTCTTTATTAATTAAACATATGAAAAAAGTAACAAAGGTGTCTGACAAAAGGGTTTCTCAAGTGTTAGCTTGCCCTATGATATTGAATTTCCTTTGAAACTATGAAGGTCATAGTGTGCTACAAGAGGTATTTATTTACTTCAACTCTTTGTGATCTTATAAGCATGCTGAGAACCAAGAAACACAGCCCCTCATGTTTCTATTAAAGTTTGAGCTACAGACTTTTCAGATGCTATTATCACTCATGAAATGAAATAAGTCAATTTTTTTGTCTAGATGATAGTTAATTACTTTTTATTAGTATATGATCTTCAGTAGTTAGAGAGTATAGAGCTTTCAAGAATTGATGACAATAATAATAGTAGAAAGAAATGCCACATGCACATCCTTTAGCTCTCCGAAACACATTTTATCTCATCAAAGCTGACAGAGGAGGAGATCGACCAAGTTGGTGGCAAAAGATCCTGAGTTCACCTCCTCTCACAAGCACACCAAAATCACAACTATATGCAAAACAACCATTGATGTAAAAGACCAGAACCTACCAGAAAAGATTTTCTACAACTAAAGACATAAAGAAAAAACCACAAGATGGGTAGGAGGGGCAGACTCATGACATAGTCAAGCCAAATATCCCTGGGTGGGCAAACCATAAACTGGAGAATTATATTGCACAGATTCTCTCACAGGAGTGAGAACTCTGAGCCCCACATTGGGCTCCCCAGCCTAGGGGTCTTGCACCAGGAAGATGAGCTCACAGAACATTTGGCTTTGAAAGTCAGTGGGGCTTCATTTTAGGAGTCCCACAGGAATGGTGAAAATAGAGACTTCACTCTTAAAGGGTGCACACAAAATACACACAACAGGATCCAGGGCAAAAGCAGTAATTTGCTTTAAACCTGGGTGAGATCTATCTGCTGGTTTTGGAGAGTCTCCTGGAGAGGCAGGAGGCAATTGCAGCTCACCCTGGGGAAATAGACACTGATGCAAGCCATTCTTGGGAGCACCTTCTACCACATGGACACTGGTGCTGGCAGACACCATTGTGGAATCCTCCATCTAGCTCACTAGTGCCAAGACCTGGCCCTAACCAAGAGCCTGTAGGTGTCACTGCTGGGATGCCTCAGGCCAAGAAACTAACTGGGTGGGGACAGAGCCACACTCATCAGTAGAGAGGATACCTAAAGACCTCCTGAACTCACAGCTACCTCTAGACATGCCTCTAGGCACGACTCTGCCCAGAAGAGGGTCCAGGATCCAGCTTCATTCACTAGTGGGCAGGCACAAGCTTCAGAATAACCAGGGCACCCAACCGGCCTCCAGGAAGCCTGCTCTAGTCTCTGGACCAACCTCACCAACCAGAGGACAGACACCAGATGCAAGAAAACCACAGTCACACAGCCTACATATCCAGTATGTCCAGAGTAAGCTAGACCTTACCCTAGACCCAGCTGGGTCCCAGCCTTGTCCACTAGCAGGGGAGAGTGCTTCTGGAATGCATAGGACATCTCCTAGAGAAGGCTGCTTCTCCAAGGTCAAGAAATGTAACTAACCTACCACACGCATAAAAATAAAAACAGAAAATTAGACAAAATAAAGCAGCAGAAGAACATGTTCTAGATGAAGAAACAAGATAAAACCCCAGAAGAATTAAGTGAAGTGGAGATAGGAAACCTACCCAAGAAGGAGTTCAGGGTAGTGATTATAAAGGTGATCAAAAACTCAGGAGAAGTATGGATGTACATAGTGAGAAGTTAGAAGGTTTTAACAAAGGGTTACAAAATATAAAGAATATCCAAACAGAGATGAAGAATACAATAACTGAAATGAAAACTACACTAGAAGAAATCAACAGTAGACTAAATGATACAGAGGAATGGACCATCAAGCTAGAAGACAGAGAAGTTGAAATCACTGAAGTTGAACCAAAAAAAAAAGTATAAAAGAAAAAGGAATGAAAAGAAATTAAGGCAGTTTAAGAGACTTCTGGGACAACATCAAGTGCACTAATATTCACATTACAGGGGTCCCAGAAAGAGAAAAGAGAGGTTCATAGAACATATTTTAAGACATAATAACTGAAAACTTCCCTAATCTGGGTAAAGAAACAGACATCCAAGTCTAGGAGATGCAGAGAGTTCCACACAGGATTAACCCAATGAGAAACACACCAAGACATGTTGTAATTAAAATGACAAAAATTAAAGATAAAGAGAGAATATTAAAAGCAACAGTGTAAAAGCAACAAATAACCTAAAAAGGAATATCCATAAGGCTATCAGCTGACTCTTCAGAAGAAACCCTATGAGCCAGAAAGGAGTGTCACAATATATTTAAAATGATTCAAGGGAAAAACCTATAACCAAGAATACTCTAGCCAGCAAGTTTCTCACTCAGATTTGATGGAGAGATCAAAAGTTTGCAGACAAGCAAAAGTTAAAAGAGTTCAGCACCACCAAAACAGGTTTACACGAAATGTTAAAGGAACATGTCCTAGCAAAAAACAAAAGGCAACAACTAGAAACATGAAAATTACAAAATGAAAAAGCTCATCAGTAAAGGTAAACATACAGTAAGGTATGAAATCATCCCCACAGAAAGCTATTAGGAAGGTTGAAAGAAAAAATTATTAAGTCACCTATATCCACAATAAGCAATTAAGGAATACACAGAACAATTAGATGTAAAACATGATGTCAAAAATAACAATCATGAGGGGAGGAGAATACAAATGCAGGGTTTTTAAAATGCATTTGTCTCTGTGTGTGTATGTGATTTAATATGGCTATATTGAAACAACATGGTAAATATTAACCAAAAATCTACTATATATATGTATATATATATATATATGCACACACACACATACACATGCATACATATATATACACACCCACAAAAAAAGAAAAGGAATAAAAAAATAACAATAAGACAGTAATCAAATCAAAAGAGAAGAGAATAAAAGAAGAAATGAAAAAAACCTATAAAAACAACACCAAAACAATTAACAAAATAGCAATAAGAACATACATATCAATATTTACTTTAAATGTAAAAGGATTAAATGCTTCAATCAAAAGACATAGAGTGGCTGAGTGGATACAAAAACAAGACCCATATATATGCTTCCTACAAGATACTCAAATCAGATCTAAAAGCAAATTCAGAATGAAAGTGTATGGATGAAAAAAGTATTCATTGCAAATGGAAGTCAAAAGAAAACAGGGGTAGCGATATTTATTTCACACAAAATTGAATTTAAAATAAAGAATGTTACAAGAGACAAAGGACACAACATCATGATCAACGGATCAATCCAAGAAGATATAACAATTCTAAATACATATGCACCCAATATAGGAGCACTTAAATACATAAAGCAAATGCTAACGGATATAAAGCAAGAAATTGACAGTAATATAATAATAGTAGGGGACATTAACACTCCACTCACATCAATGGACAGAACATCCAGACAGAAAATCTGTAAGGAAACACTGGCCTTAACTGACACGTTAGATCAAATGCACTTAATTGATATATAGAGAGCATTCCATCCGAAAGCAGCAGAATATACATTCTTTTCAAGTGCACATGGAACATTCTCCAGGAGAGATCACATTCTAGGCCATAAAACAAGCCTCAACAAATTTAAGAGTATAGAAATTATAGCAAGCATTTTCTTTTCTGACAACAATGATATTAAACTAGAAATCAACTACAAGAAAAAAGCTGCAAAAAACACAAGGAAGCTAAACAGTATGCTACTAAACAACAAATGGATCACTGAAAAAGTCAAAGAGGAAATGAAAAATTACCTAGAGACAAATGAAAATGAAAAAAACAATAATCCAAAACCTATGGGACTCAGCAAAAGCAGTTCTAAGAGAGAAATTTATAGCAATACAAGCTTACCTCAGGAAACAAGAAAAATTTCAAATAAACAACCTAACCTTACATCTAAAGGAACTAGAGAAAGAAGAACTAACAAAACCTAAAGGTAGCCGGAAACAAAATCATAGAGATCAGAGCAAAAATTAATAAAATAGAGACTAAAAAGCAATAGAAAATATCAATAAAACTACAAGCTGGTTCTTTAAAAATAAACAGAATTGATAAACTTTTAGCTAAACTAACCAAGGAAAAGGGGGAGAGGGCCCAAATCAATAAAGTCAGAAATGAAAAAGGAGAGTCACAACCGATGCCACAAAAATACATAGAACCATAAGAGACTACTACAGGCAACTATATGCCAACAAAATGGAAAACCTAGAAGAAATGGACAAATTCCTAGAAGTGCACAATTTCCCAAGACTCAACCAGGAAGAAATAGGAAATATGAACAGACCAATTACCATTAACAAAATTGAATCAGTAATTTGAAAAACTCCCAGCAAATAATGTAAATTGATACAGCCACTATGGAGAACAGTATGGAGGTTCCTTAAAAAATAAAAAATAGAACTACCATGCGACCCAGTAATCACACTACTGGGCATATACGCTGAGAAAACCATAATTCAAAAAAGAGTTATGTACCACAATGTTTATTGCAGCTCTATTTACAATAGCCAGGACATGGAAGCAATCTAAGTGTCCATTGACAGATGAATGGATAAAGAAGATGTGGCAAATATATACAATGGAATATTACTCAGCTGTAAAAAGAAAAGAAATTGAGTTATTTGTAGTGAGATGGATGGACCTAGAGTCTGTCATACAGAGTGAAGTAAGTCAGAAAGAGAGAAACAGGACTTCCCTGGTGGCGCAATGTTGAGAATCTGCCTGCTAATTCAGGGGACACGGGTTCGAGCCCTGGTCTGGGAGGATCCCACATGCCGCAGAGCAACTGGGCCCGTGAGCCACAGCTACTGAGCCTGTGCGTCTGGAGCCTGTGCTCTGCAACAAGAGAAGCCGTGATAGTGAGAGGCCCGTGCACCACAAAGAAGAGTGGCTCCCGCTTGCCACAACTAGAGAAAGCCCTCACACAGAAATGAAGACCCAACACAGCAAAAATAAATAAATTAATTAATAAACTCCTACCCCCATTATCTTCTAAAAAAAAAGAGAGAAACAAATGTCATATGTTAACACACATATATGGAATCTAAAAAAAAAAAATCATGAAGAACCTAGGAACAAGATGGGGATAAAGATGCAGACCTACTAGAGAATGGACTTGAGGACATAGGGAGAGGGAAGGGTAAGCTGGGACAAAGTGAGAGAGTGTCATGGACATATATACACTACGAAATGTAAAATAGATAGCTAGTGGGAAGAAACCACATAGCACAGGGAGATCAGCTCGGTGCTTTGTGACCACCTAGAGGGGTGGGATAGGGAGGGTGGGAGGGAGGGAGATGCAAGAGGGAAGAGATATGGGGATATATGTATATATATATATAGCTGATTCACTTTGTTATAAAACAGAAACTAACACACCATTGTAAAGCAATTATACTCCAATAAAGATGTAAAAAAATAAAATAAAAAAACTCTCAGCAAAAAAATGTCCAGGACCAGATGGCATCACAGGTGAATTCTACCAAACATTTAAAGAAGAGTTAACACCTATCCTTCTCAAACTATTATCAAAAACTGCAGAGGAAGGAATTCCCAAACTCATTGCATGAGGCCAGCAGCACCCTGACACCAAAACCAGAGAAAGCTATCACACACAAAAAAAATTACAGGCCAATATCATTGATGAACATAGATGCAAAAATCCTCAACAAAATATTAGCAAACCAAACCCAACAATACATTTCAAAGATCATACAACATGATCAAGTGGGGTTTATCCCAGGAATGAAAGGAGTTTTCAATATCTGTGAATCAAACAATGTGATAGACCACATTAATCAACTGAAGAATAAAAAGCACATGATCATCTCAGGAGATGCAGAAAAAACTTTTGACAAAATTTAACATCCATTTATGATAAAAACTCTCCAAAAAGTGGGCATAGAGGGAACATACCTCAACATAATAAATGTCATTTTCTCCAAACCCACAGAAAATAGTAAATAGTACCCAACAGTAAAAAGCTGAAAGCCTTCCAACCAAATTCAGGAACAAGACAAGGATGCCAACTAACCACTTCTTTTGAATATAGCACTGGAAGTCCTAGCTGCAGAAATCAGACAAGAAAAAGAAATAAAAGATATCCACATTGGAAAGGAAGAGGTAAAATTGTCATTATATGAAAATGACATGATAGGCTATAGAAAACCTTAGAGACTGCATACAAAAATATTAGAACTAATAAGTGAATTAAGCAAGTTAGCAACATACAAAATTAATATACAGAAATCTGTTGCAATTTTTACACTAACAATGAAATTTACACTAACAATTTACACTAACAAAGAGAAAGAATTTATCCTAATGAAAAAAGTGAAAGTAAAAAACCAATCCCATTAAAAATCAAGTCAAACAAAAACACCTAGGAATAAATCTAACCAAGGAGGTGAAAGACCTATATGCTGAGAACTATTAAACAGTGATAAAGGAAACTGAAGATGATTCAAAGAAATGGAAAGTTATCCCATGCTTTTGGATTGGAAGAATTAATATTGTTAAAATGGCCATACCACCCAAAGCAATCTACAGATTTCATGTGATCCCTATGAAATTACCCATGACATTTTTCACAGAACTAGGGCAAATAATCCTAAAATTTATATGGAACCACAAAAGATCCAGAATTGTCAAAGTAAACCTGAGGAAAAAGAACAAACCTGGAGACAAAAATAGCCCTCCAACATTTCAGACAATGCTACAGAATTACAGTAATCAAAACAGGGTGGTATTTGCACAAAAACAGACATATAGATCAATGGAACAGAATAGAGAGCCTAGAAATAAATCCACACACCTACAGTCAATTAATCTTTGACAAAAGGGGGCAAGAATATACAATGGAGAAAAGAGAGTCTCTTTAGCAAGTGGTGTTGCAAAAGCTGGACAGCCTCATGTAAGTCAGTGAAATTAGAACACTCCCTCACGCCATATACAAATGTAAACTCAAAATGGTTTAAAGACCTAGATTAAGACATGACACCATAAAACACCTAGCAGAGAACATGGACAAAACATACTCTGACATAAATAGTACTAATATTTTCTTAGTCTCCCAAGGCAAAAGAAAGAAAAGCAAAAGTAAGCAAATGGGACCTAATCAAACTTATAAGCTTTTGCACAGCAAATGAAACCATAAACCAAATGAAAGGCAACACACAGAATGGGAGAAAACATATGCAAATGATGCAACTGACAAGGGGTTAATTTCTAAAATACACAAACAACTCCTACAGCTCAATATCAAAAGAATGAACAACCCAATCAAAAAATGGGCAGACAACTTGAATAGACATTTCTCCAAACAGGACATACAGATGGCCAACAGGCACATGAAAAGATGCTCAACATCACTAACAGAGAAATTCAAATCAGAGCTACAATGAGGTATCACCTCACACTGCTCTGAATGGCCATGATCAAAAAGTCTACAAACAATAAATGCTGGAGAGGGTGTGGAGAAAAGGGAACCCTCCTACACTGTCTGTAGGAATGTAAATTGGTTCATCCACTATGGAGAATGGTATGGAGGTTCCTTAAAAAACTAAAAATAGAGCTACCATATGATCCTGTAATCCCACTGCTGGACATATAACTAGAAATGATAAAAGCTCTAATTTGAAAAGATATACACACCCCAATATTCATAGCCTTACTATTTACAATAGCCAAAATATGGAAGCAACCTAAGTGTCTACTGACGAATGGATAAAGATGTGGTA